ACTGCATCTTAGCGAGGTCTCTCCAGCCCCTGAAAGAAGTATAAATGTGAGGGAGACATGGTGACCAGCTGTGGGAGTGACATGAGGACCTAAAGAAAGACTGTGATAGTAGGTATGGTTTCTATTAAGAAAGGCAGATATGTCAGATTGGATGTGGGGTAACTTCCAAGTGTCTGGCTAAAGATGATAATGCCTTCCATCCAAAGTAGGTAATATAGAAGAAAAAGCCAAGTTGAAAGGGAAGATGATGGATTCAGCTTTCGATGTGAATGTGATATGCCTTTGGGTTATCTAGGTGATTTCCAGCAGAAAGTTAAATATAGAAGGCTGAAGGGGAGGTCTGAATGGGAGGCTAAAATTTGAGTCAGCAAAATAGTAGAGATAGCCAAAATTATGAGTGAATATTCAGGGTATTATTTTATTATTGCTTTCAATTTCAGCCATTCTAATAGGTAAGTACTAGTAACTCATTGTGGTTTTAATCTTTATTTCCCTAATGTCTAATGATGTTTAGCATCTTTTCAAAGCTTCTTTAATATTAGTGTATCTTCTTTGGGGATTTTTTTTTTTTTTAAGATTTTATTTATTTACCTGTCAGAGAGATAGAGAGCACAAGCAGGGGGAGTGGCAGGCAGAGGGAGAGGGAGAAGCAGGCTCCCCGCTGAGCAGGGAGCCCGACACCGGCTCGATCCCAGGACCCCGGGATCATGACCTGAGCCGAAGGCAGTTGCTTAACTGACTGAGCCACCCAGGTGCCTGGGGATTTATTTATCTTATTCTCTGTGAGATTCTTATTCAAATTCTTTGCCTATTTAAAAAATTAAGTTGTTTTTGGGACGCCTGGGTGGCTCAGGTCATGATCCTGGAGTCCCGGGATCGAGTCCCACATCGGGCTCCCTGCTCAGCCGGGAGTCTGCTTCTCCCTCTGACCCTCCCCCCTCTCATGTACTCTCTCTCTCTCATTCTTGTTCTCTCAAATAAATCTTTAAAAAAATTAAGTTCTTATTTTTGCTTTTTGAGAGTTATTTATGTATTCTTGATACAAGTCCTTTATCAAATATATGCTTTGCAAATATTTTCTCCCCGTGTGTGTGGCTTCAACAATGTCTTTTGAAGAGCATATGTTTTATCTCGTTGAACTTCAATTTCTCAATTTTTTCTTTCCTACATCATGCTTTTGATGTTGCACCTGAGAAATCTTTACTTCAGTAAAATCACATGTCTTTTCTGTCTAGGAAGTTTTATAGTTTTTTGTTTTCCATTTACATCTATGATCAATTTTGAGTTAATTTTGTTTATGGTATGAAGAATGGATGGATGTAATGATACTAGATAGAATCAGTCATGAAGAGTGTACTGAATGAGAAGTGCAAAGGGTAGATGGAACCTAAGAAAAAACATAAAATTAAGGCTTAAGAAACAGGTGTTGGGCAAAAAAGACTCAAGGCATTGTCTTAAAAGCAGCAGGAAAATTCTAAATAATCAACACTGCCTACTAAGATAAACAATGGAAATTGCCTTTTTAATTTGGGTGAGGTCACTAGTGACCTTACCAAGAGCATTTACAGTCAAAACAAACCATTCTGATATCGGAACTATATCTAACCAAGACTTGATAGGAATTCCCCCTGTGGAAGCAATTGAAGTTTGAAATTCCTGAGCACTCTTAAAGGTCACTTTTCTAGGCACAGGATCATGGGGCGGAGGGGGGGGTAGGGCTGTCTGGGCTTCCCGACATTGAGGATGACTGAGGCATATCCCAGTCACACCCCTTGGGGCACTCCCAAATGAGGTCTTGGGGTTGGGAACAAACCCCAAGCAGCATCGCCCCGCTGGGAAATCAGAATCACAATGATGGCCAGATTTGCTAAACTGACACCTCACCAGGGAGGCAGCTGGTTAAACTACAGCAGAATGCAAAAGCGAGGTTGGAAATACCTGCACTCGGGCAATCCCGGGCAAACTAGAAAATCCCTCCCACCCTCCACCCATTCGTATGACTGGAGGAAAGGCGCAAGGCGCCGGGCTGCGCGGCCCAACCTCGGGTCCAGCCCCTACCGGGCGAAGAGCTCCTGCACTTACCCTGTCCTAGGATGGGGATATGTAAAGCCACGGGCTAAGGGGATCGCGGGTACTCCTCGTCCTTTCCCAGAAGGCATGTTGGGGGGCTCTGGATAGACTCCCCTGGCCAACTGACCTTTCCCCTCCCCGCACCAGCAGTCGGCGGGTCACTTCTTATCCGGTTCTCCCCAACCCCACCCCAGTGCTCTCCCGCCGCCCCCAGCTAGTCGTAAAGTGCAGTAAAGGCGCCAGCGTTTTGCGGCACCGTAGGTGAGGGCGGCGGCGTGCGTGTTCATTCCGCGCGAATCCGCCTTTTCGGTACCTGCTTTTTCGGAAAGGCTTCAATTAGCAATTTGGGGACCCAACTACAGTTTTCAGAGGGTAATTGACTGATCTTAGTTTGGTGTAACGAGAAAAAGCGGGGTAGGGTTGTTTAAGAACACTCATTCCAGTCCTTATTTAAGAGGCGTGAAGTAAGGTTCTCAGGCCTCGTTTGTGACTTGCCGCCCCTGCTTGTGCTGTCTTGGTTTTCATTTTCATGTTCATCGCTAGATTTTACGTATCTTCCGTGTAGCTGACACTTGTTTTTCTTGTTCACTTCGTCCTGCAGTCTCCCTCCCCCTGGACTTTGAAATGCTTTACCTGATCGGCTTGGGCCTGGGCGATGCCAAGGACATCACAGTCAAGGGCCTGGAAGTTGTAAGACGCTGCAGTCGAGTGTATCTAGAAGCCTATACCTCAATCCTGACTGTAGGGAAGGAAGTCCTGGTAGGTACTTAAGGTTCTTCAGTCCCTGGGAAGAAAGCTGTCTAACAGCTGATTTTCATTACACTAAGCTGAACCCAATTTTCAGGTATGCTTGTTTAAACACATCCCCTGCTCATTTTGGATCACAAGAATGGGAATAATACAACAACCAAGTGACTTGAAAAATGAAAGGGTGCTTTGTCTTACTTTACAAGTCTAATTTTGTGGTTTTCTCCAGTAAATAGGAAAGTTATTTTACACTCCTGGGGATAGTTATCAAAATCCTTTATTTCATGAGATACTCAAATTTTTTCTGAGTTGAGTGTTAATGAGGTACCGACATAGCCTTAATGAGTTGGTTATGTATTCAGAAACCAAGCTGAAAGCTTCTCCCTTTGAAGTATTTCCATAGGAAATGGTAATCGCCTTTCTGTCAGTATCCTATGCAGAGAGGTCATAACTTTAAAAAGATTGCCAGTAAGGCTAATACACATACTCTTGTGTATATTGAGTGAGCCTGGAACTTAATAACCTTAGTTGGATTTGTTACTGTATCATACATTTAGCTTGATCTTGTTGTAGGGCTTGTAGGGCTCTACATTTTGGAGGAGGGATAGTTCAGGTTCATTGTCAAACTCCAATTAGAACATAAATTAAGATGTAGAGAGTGATGGACATGTTACAGGAGAAGGGAGAGGATTTTGGAATTGTCTGGTCTACCAAGGCTTCTGAACAAAAAGGTGACCTAGAGAATTTCAGGTCTTCTGTTCTCTCATATTCACAGCCCAGAGAATTCGTGTCTCGGAGTTACCTTAAAATCTTAAGGAATTAAAGACTGCTACTTGAATTGGCCATGCACTAATGTGGAAGTTGTGGCTAATGCCCAGCGTTGATTTGTTGACTCTGATTTGTTGGGTTGGAACCAAAGTATTTCAGCTCAAGGTAATAAATATTCCTCCTCAAGGAAAACTAGAATGAATTTAAATTCGTCTAAGAGAGTGGAGACAAATAACAAATCAGTGTTTTTATAGGATAAGATGTCAGGGCATGGCATAGAGGAAAGTTGGACCTGTCTTTACGCCTTCTCTGTTACATGTTACCATGTCACCTTGGACAAGTCCTTTAACTTTACTTTTTTACTTTGTGAAATGGGGATAAATAATGCCTACCTCATAGGTTCTTAATGTGGTGCCTGTAGCGAAAATGTTGAGAAATGGTAGTTGTTAATGGACACATTTCCAGATTTCTTTAAACCTCAGTAGCTTCATTTGTGAAAAAGGAGATAATAACCAATTGGAGGGTTATGTAGGATTTTATTAAGATGATGTATTGGTTGCTATAATTTTTACAAGTATTTTTTTTTTCAAAAACTTATTGTTGGGGCTGGGCCTAGCCTCACCTATAGGTAAATTCTGTGTACTTTGTTAAGGTGCTGGAATATCTGTTCCTCCACAATAATAAGTGCTAATATTTATAGAATACTTACTATGCACTGTGCTAAGTGTTTTACATGTAGAACAGGACTATTACTCTATAATTACTATTCACATTTTACAGGCACAGAGAAACTTGCCCAAGGTCATACAGATAGTAAGTGATACGAACCAAGACAGAGTTGAGTTGAGAAGCACCAGTCTTAACATTTATACCATACAGTGTCTGTCTTAATACTCAGGGATAGATAATAGCTTTACAAAATAATGATTTCAGAGAATGTCCACAGAGAAGGTAGGATTCAAGCAAAATGCTTTGTGTATCACAGGTTCCATTGGTCTGCTCTTCATGACCTACTCCAGGTCCTTAGTTCATGTTTTTCCCTGAGCAAATTGGTGTGCAACATCAGCCACCTTTAATGACTCTTTTCTGGAATAAAGTAAGGTATAAATAAATAAATTCATGCCTTATATTGCCTAGTAAAATCTCAGAGCCACTTTCTCTTCAGTGACTTCCTTTCTATTTCCTTTTATTTCTACCTTTTCTTTTTTTATAAACAAATTGATTTTTAAGAATTGTTGACATGTGCTCACACCTATATATTACAATCTGGTCTCAACTAGATAATTGTATAGCGAGAAAAAAGATTGGAAAAATCTATTTTCCTCAGTGAATATGTGCTTGCTTTTATCAATAATCATACAAAATAGTATTTTATAAATGGCACACATGGATGTTGCTAAAGAAATCTAGAATTTGGGGCACCTGGGTGGCTCAGTCGGTTAAGCATCAGACTCTTGGTTTTAGCTCAGGTCGTGATATCATAGGTCCTGAGATGGAGCCCCAGTCATTCTTCGTGCTCCATGGGGAGTCTGCTTGAAGATTCTCTCCCTCTGCCTCCTCACCCACCCGTGCTATCTATCTCTCAAATAAATCTTTTTTATTTTATTTTTTTAAGATTTTATTTATCTGAGAGAGCGAGCGAGCGAGAGCACAGCCAGGGGAGGGGCAGAGAGGAGGAGGAGCAGACTCCCCACTGAGCAGGGAGCCTGATGATGTAGGACTTAATCTCAGGACCCTGGGATCATGACCCAAGCCCAAGGCAGACGCTTAACTGACAGAGCCACTCAGGCACCCTCAAATAAATAAATCTTCAAAAAAAAAAATATGGAATTGATCTTTGCTTACATTGAAAACTAATATTATTTATATGTTCTGTATTATTCAAAAGTTAATTAAAATAGAGACAGTGAAACCAGCAAAGAGTTTTAGTACTACACTTTGAATTTTTTTAGACACTTTCTGTGAATAAATTATGATTTTATGTGCCGTTTTGGTGTAATACACATGTACTGCCTTATACAAAGAGGTATAAGCTATGATCTTTGTTCTCAAGTGGTTCATGATTCATCTGTGTTATACTCAGGAAAACTTAATAATGGAAGATTTAAATAACAATTCATGGCAACAGTGGCAGGAAGAAACTATAAAATTATATTGCTGGGAAGAACTTAGATGATCTTATTTAAGCCAATGTTGTTTTCATGAATTAAATAGTAGAAGCTGTCTCAAATAGTAAATAATTACTAGTTATTAATTTCAGTTGAAATACATATAAGAAGATCACTTCAGGTCGTGGTGGCCAGAGAATACTATGGAATAGATGGAATTTGAGCTATCTCTTAAAATAATGCATCCCAGTCTTTTTGTTTTGTTTCTTTTGTTTTATGGTCTAAATAGAAAATGGTAATATTTATACAGCTCTGGAGGGTAAATAGAGGAAGCTGCTTTGGCCAAAGGGGGCTGACTTTGGGGCTCTAGTTATCCTGTAGAAAGCAGAGGAGATCACTAAGCTCTGCTTGGCTGTGCCTCATTTGTTTTTTTGGTCTTCTTGGTTTTTTTAAGTACGCTCCATGCCCAACACGGGGCTTGAACTCACAAGCCCTGAGATCAAGAGTCACATGCTCTACCAATTGAGCCAGCCAGGCACCCCTTTGCCTCATCTGTAGTACATGTAAAGTTTTGCAGTCAACCAGTCACTTGTTGGTTGTGACTTTGGGCAACCACTTAACTTTGTGTTCTTTTTTTTATTTCTTAAACAGGGATAAAAATAGGGAGTATCTCATAGATTGTGATGAAGAGTAAATGAATTCATATGCATAAGTTCTTAGAACATGCCTGACCCCAGAGTGGTCTAATGTAAATGTATTATAAATATTGTTATTATAGATAAGACTTGGTAAAGGGAAGAGAAAGAGATAGTTACTATAGATAAGATTTGGTAAAGGGAAGAGAAAGAGTATTCCTTACTGAAGAAAAAAATAATTGTGAGCAAAACCATGGAGGAGATAAGCACAATTTGCGGTACTTGTTCTTGGGCATCACGAAAATAACTTTCATTTTCTCCCAGTGTATCTGTTTCCCTCTTTTCTTCCTAATCTGCTTCATCTGGATACCAGCCTACTCTACTTGTCTTCCTATCCAGCTGCGGCTTGCTAGTGAAGGGACAGACTTCCCACTGAGAAAGATGAGGCAATCATCTGTGGCCTTTATTAACTTACCATTTGTCTTTCCCTTAAATCTGAATCTGTCTTCCCCCAAGTCTTAGAAAATGACTTGTTAGATGAGGTTCTCAGCCTGTTGAAGACAACTCTACTAGGTGTGTTTTCTCCAAACCTCTTCCTCTCCCTTCCTCTGAAACCTTATTCCCATCGTTTATTCTTTCTTCATTATGTTTGATGTATATTAACTTCCTTCTCCCCTCAACCTGAAACCATATTCAGATTTTGTCCATTCTGAAATCTCTCCCCTTTTAAACCTCTTTTCTCCATAGTTATTATTGTTTCTGTCTCTTCTTTATCCAAAGCTTTTTGAAAAACCAGTGTACATTTATTATCCCCTCTTCACTCATAGCTCAGACTCCTGCAAGCTGACTTCCGTTCCTCTGAAATATTTCTGTTTGTTAAACAATTATTTAGCAGCTGAGAATGCCACAGGATAGTTTTCAATTCTTACTTGTTTTACTTCTTCTGACATAGTTGATCACTCCTTGAAACTGGCTTTCATGACGTTACTTTCTCTTGGTTTTACTTGTACTTTTCCATTTTTTTTCAGTCCCTTTCGTAAGCCCTTATTTCTCTGTTCCTTCTTTCAATGTTAATGTGTTTGGGGTTTTCTTTAGGTTTTCTTTTCTTGTTTATATATCCTACTTCTAGCCTCTACTTTTTTTTTTTTTTTTTTTTACTAGGTAATACATTAAATGGTATAAAATTCAAAAGATACTAAATGGTGTATACACTGAAAGATTTCTATTGTGGTTCCCCTTCCTGGAGGCAGTTATTGCTAATTTCTTATGTATCCTTCCAGAAATACCCAAAAGTAATTTTAATTTTAATTTTTTTACCCTGTCCCCCTTACAAAACCTGCCAACCTAAAGCAGGAATGAATTTTGAGTTTTGCCTTCATTTTCATGAGTGGAGAACATTAGGGCTGATACTGTACAAAAACTGGCTAATCAGTCATTGAATAATACATAATATAAATGTAAAATTATTTGTTAAATAACACTGCCTTTTTTTAACCCCTCTTCCCTGACTCTTACTAGGTTCCATGCTCTTGTAGCACTTAATGATATGGTAGATAATTCCCAGCTAAACATTATAAGCCACAGGACAGGGGCCACATATGTCTCATTCACCATTGTTTCCCAACATCAAGCATAGAATTTGTGGGGAAGTTGTGCACAAAGAAGTATTCTTCAGGGGGCACCTGGGTGGCTCAGTCGTTAACTGTCTGCCTTCGGCTCAGGTCGTGATCCTAGGGTCCTGGGATTGAGCCCCATGTCGGGCTCCCTGCTCCACAGGAAGCCTGCTTCCCCCTCTCCTGATCCCCCTGCTTGTGTTCCCTCTCTCGTTGTGTCTCTCTCTGTCAAATAAATAACTAAAATCTTAAAAAAAAAAAAAAAAAAAGAAATATTCTTCAAGTGAGTGAATGAATAAATAACGAAGTGGGTAAATTAAAAAGAATGTAATACCAGTTTCTTACTGCTTTTGCTCTTTCTTCCCCTTTTTAAGCTCCCCCCTCCCCCCGCCCGCCCAAGACCATCAGCCATTTAGTTATACTGGACTGTTTGGCTATGTGTGCACAGGTCTGCATATGTGGATAAGTTTTTTTTTTTTAATAAATGTGTGTTTCAATTAAATAATGAAATGTTTCTTAGGATAAGTGATAAATATAGAGTGATGCATGATAGAAGTCTTGAGGAGAGTGGGGTTTTCTTTTGTTAAATCATTTATAAAATATTGGATAGGATTTAGGATTACTGCTAGCATTAAGCTAGTAACGTGACTTTTTGATCTTAAGAAATGTTAGTTCAGGAAAAAATATCATTTCCTTCAGTTTTCTATAATCATACGTGTGTCTTCTTAGATATATGTGAATATAAATGTTCTACCACTAGTAAGTTTTCTGGACTCATGAAATTAAAGTAAGTTATATACAAATTAATGATTAAGAAAAATATATGGTAAAGGTGAAAATAAAGAGAACATTTTCATCTGTAAAAACATTGTTGTCATTGGGAACTTCTGGAGCATTATCTCTGAGAAGATATGCAGAAAAAGGGAAGAGATCTTTTTTCACATTTCAGGGACAGATTCTAGTTAAGTATTAGGCAATAATTATCAGAGTTGGAACTATGGCCTTTATCTCCAAGTGCTTAATCATTTGTTTATTTACTCTTTTGCTTGACAGATAAATTATTGAATACAGCAGTCCTTGTAATGTTTCACATCTGATACAATCCTTAAAGCTCAAACTTCTCAGCATGTAAGAAATAGTATTTGTTTATGCATTCACTTTTACTATATTTGAATTACATATTACTCCACAGGAAATCAGTTAATAAGATTCATGACCTTTCATAATAGTTTGTAACCACCACCACATGACCATTAGCACACTAGTTCACTCTCTGTACTTATATGCTGCCACCCCAGTTAAGGTCAGCCTCCTGGGTTTATTTTCTAGAGTTGAACTTTAGGGGATTGGTTCACAAAGTACTTTATATGGAGACTTCCTATATGATTAGAATTTTTTTCTTTCCTCTGCAACTCTGCCTTTTTAGCAGGAACTAGGAAATACAGTTTTAAATTAATCTTTCCTGCAATTATATAGGAATGTTTGCTGGCTGTACGGATAACTAAATCTTAATTTTCTATTATTTCTCATTGAAATTACCTTTTATTTTAGCCAGGGTCCTGTAGGTTTTCCTATGGAAAATTTAATAAAACCCAAATTACCGTGTATGTTTATAATTATTATTTAACATATTCTGTATTACTGTGTTTCTGAAATAAAGCTCATGCATACATGTTCTCTGTTCATTCTACAGTGTTCTGCCTGATCTGTTAGACTCAAATTTAGAGGTAAATTTAAAATGCAGAAAGCCTCAGATGTTAGGAGGTCTACCTCCTCTTGGGATATTAAGATAGCCCCAAAGACAGAGTTTAATTGCAACATGATATAGAGTGCTGGCTCACTGAGGAGTCCAATTCAATGATCTGTGTTTGGATGGTTGCCAAGATTTGCACCAGCCCCAGACAAAAATTGGTGTGTGTGTGTGTGTGTGTGTGTGTACATGTGTTGAAATGGTCACCTGCTGTTTCATTTTGATATTGGACTTAAATCTATAGGAAGAGTTTTATGGAAGAAAATTGATTCTTGCTGATAGAGAAGAAGTGGAACAAGAAGCTGATAATATTTTAAAGGATGCTGATATCAGTGATGTTGCATTCCTTGTGGTTGGTGATCCATTTGGGTAAGTCAAAGCAGGTATTTTGAGTTTTAATTTATTTGCTTTTTAAAAAAAAAATCAGAATTATTCTGTTATATCTAAAACCCTTTACTTGCCAGGTCCTAATAAAGGACTGTGTTACCTAGGTTCTAAAATTTCATTAACTTTCATTATCTTTGAGATTAATGAAGAAAATCTGTTTGATTAGGATATCATCATATATATCACTTACATTGGTTATTGTCAGTTCTAGAGTTTGTATCATTGCTCCTGCTATTCTTTTAGAAGGTAACTTAGGGCATCAAATGACTTAACTAGTATGTCATTATTAATAAGTGTATTACGTTATCAAGAGTCATACCTACCATTTATTTTGTAGGCAAATTGCAAGCATCTTCTACTTCCTTTGTCCTAGGCTTTTTTTTTCCTTTAATCATCTCATATTTAGCAATATTGTCACTTTACTTGCCTTGAATTTAAAATCTGTCCAGCTTCAAATTTCAATTCCTTATATCCATTGGGAGCTCTATTCTTCCCCATTACTAAAAAGATGGGTTTCTACTTGTCTAGTTAAGCATCATCAATCTCTAATGTCAAGCCAAACAGAGGAGTTCTTTGTTTCCAGCTGGTGACCCAAGATTTATGTCACAGATTTAAGGAACATAAGGACAATTAAATCACTATGAACTCACCACCGAGGACTTTTTTCCAAAAGAATGGAGTTACACGTGCATGTGTCTGTCAAAAAAAAAAAAAAGAAAGTAATTTACATCAATGTGGTGTTCCAAAGATTGTGTTTCATTATAATACTTGGTTGCAAATGACATTGTGCAATCACATATTTTAAAATATCCAAATTGTTTTAGCCTCTGACATTGTTTTCTGTAAAAGTAAGTCTTCCTCCAAATTAGCAGTACCTATTTTCCTTTTTTTTTTTTTTTAACATTTTATTTATTTATTTGACAGAGAGAGGAGAGAGAGAGCACAAGCAGGGGGAGCGACAAGCAGAGGGAGAGGGAGAAGCAGGCTCCTCACTGAGCAGAAACCTGGGATCATGACCTGACCCGAAGTCAGATGCTTAACCAACTGAGCCACCCAGGCGCCCCTCCTTTTTTTTTTTTTTTAAGCCACAAAATAGTAAAGTAAAGGTAATGAAAAATCCTATATATAAAATGTCTTGGAACTCTTGTAGGATTTTCTCATTGCACTGGATTCTGGCCAAAGTCCCATATTTTCTATAGTGACATCTTCTGAACTGTCCAAACTTCCTTACTTGATGGTATCGCAATTCTTAGAGTTACCTTAGAGTAATCTCAGAGTCACTTTTGACTTCCATGGCATCCATTCACTGAAAAAGTCCAATAAACCAGTGCTACCCAGTGTGGGGTTTACAGACTGGTGCCAGCTGACAAACTTACTAGTCCATGATGAGAACTACAGAAATTGAAAGTAAGCATTTAGAAATTTTATAGCAGTTTTTAAAAGTAATTTTGTTTCTGCTGTATCTCATAATAAAAATTTGGAGCTTATATTTTCTATTACTTTATATTTTATTTTTCTAATCACTAATTTTGATTGCATTTTACAAAACTATTGTTCCATGCCAATTTAGAACTTAAGAAAGTTATTAGCTTTTCACTAGTTTGAGAAGCACTGCTTTTGACTTTTTTTTTTTACTTATAATTATTTGTTTATTATATAATAAAGGATATGATAAAAGATACAGAGGAACAGCCAGATGAAGAGGTGCATGAAGAGAGATCCAGAAGAGTCCCAAGCGTGGGAGCTTCTGTCCTGGAGTTGAAGTAGGCCACTCTCCCAGCACATAGATGTGTTCAACCCAGATGCTCTCTAAATGATATAGTTCAAGGACTTTTATGGAGGCTTCATCATGTAGGCATGACTGATTATTAACTCAGTTTCCAGCCCCAATTTTTATATTGTTTTATTCCCTAGTTTAATATAGTAGCCTTTTGCTTGGTCCCGATGCAGATTCTTATTTCATTACCTACGTTGTGGTCAAATTTATATTTGTGAAACCACAATTTGAAAATCTTATTTGAGCTCAGAATGAGAGTTACTAGCTCCATCCATTGGCCAGATATGAAAAATACTGTCCAACCTTCCCTTCTACCTGTCCTTGTCCTAAAGCCCACACTCATGGCAGTCAGTTTGCCCTTCCCTGGTCATCTTGCTTTCTCATTCTGTACATCTGTTCAAACTCTTTCCTTCATCTATAATGCCCTTTGCTATATATCTGATTGTCAGAAGTCCAGCCATCTTTAGAAGCCTAACTCAAATACCACGTTCTCAGTGATGCGGTCCTTTATTACCCTGATCAGGGTAATAACGTCATTCATACGTTTTCATACATTGCCTTACAATGTTTTTTTTTTTAATAAATGTATATATCTACTCTCTAGGTTTGTAGGCTGTCCTTCACACTTTTATCTCCCTAGCTTCCTTCACAGTGTAGTAGATATCAATTAAGTATTAAGGGAAAGAGTTGTTTAATATTTTGCCTGGGGTCACAAGGGAAGACCAGGCATATCTTGGACTGACGTTTATCTGTTCAACAAATATCTTTGGAACACCTGTCTCATGACAGGCACTCCTACATGCTGGATATATGTTAGATGATAAAACACGGGGTTTAGGGTTTAGTAGAGGAGGTCAACATCAGTCAAAGAGAAAATAACAAATTTAAAATTTTGTAGGCCTGTAAGGGGAAAAAAGAAAAAAAGGACTAACAGGAATAGGCTAATTTCTGTAGGGTTGTACGGGAAATCCTTTTTGTTGAGGTAAGATTTAAGTAGGTATCTGAAAAATAAAAGGAATAGCAGAAGGGAAGAGCACTGTAAGCAGAGGGAACTGCAAGAATGTATTCGGGGACCTGGAAGAGCATGGTGAGTGGGTGGGGGGAGGGAGTGAGAAGGAGTTCAGGAGGTAGGCAGGACCCAGATCATGTAAGGCCTAGGAGGGGGTAGGGATTTTGTTTGAAGTACTCTGATAGGGACGCCTGGGTGGCTCAATCAGTTAAGCATCTGCCTTTGGCTCAGGTCATGATCCCAGGGTGCTGAGATCGAGTCCCGCGTCTGGCTCCTTGCTCAGCAGGGAGCCTGCTTCTCCCTCTGCCTGCAGCTCCCCCTGCTTGTGTGCACGTTCTCTCTCTCTCTCTGACAAATAAATAAATAAAATCTTAAAAAAAAAAAAGATGAAATACTCTGGTAAATCTTTGAAGGATTTTAAGCAGGAAAGAATCATAATCTGATTGACATTCTTAAATGATCACTCTGAATGCTCCCCTGAGTGGATTTTAGGGAGGCAGTGTGGCTTTGATAGAGGAGAGAAAAAGGCTAAGTGGGAAAAGTCGAGAAGGAAGAATGCCAATATGTATGTAGGTGAGGGAAAGAAGTTTTCCAGAATTCCAGCTTTAGGAACTGAGTAGTTGATGGTGCCAGTTCTTGAAAAGATGAAAGCTTGTAGGGAAAATAATTGGGGAAGACAAGAATTGGTTCTGGAAATGTTTTAAATTTGAGATGTCATGTAGGCAATTTGATATCTGCTGCTGGAGCTCAACGGAGAGTTACCCTGGATATATGGTTTTTGAAGTTACGAGTGTTTATCGGGGGAGAGGGAGAGATAGGATGTTTAAAGCCAGAGAAATGGATGAAATCACTAGGAAAGAACAAGGGGAAGAGAAGATAAAGCCTTAGGAAACTTGAATTTCGTGGTCTGTCAAGAGCCAGAGGAGGAAGAAAACCAAGATAATGTGTTGTCACAGAAGCCCAGAAAAAAGAAGACTTTAGAGAGGAAAGAGTGGTTAACTCTGATACACTGCTGAAAGGTTGGGCCGAGGGTGAGGATAGAACTAAGTGTAAATTCAAAGGCATAGAGTTTGGAGTTTTCCATTGGTGGCTTTATGGAGGAGTTGCTGCTTGAGCTGGGTCAAATTTGTTATTTTCTCTTTGATTGATGTCGACTTCCTCTACTAAACTCTAAACCCCGTGTTTTATCATCTAACATAGGTGGAAATTGTAGAGGAGGTCAGCAGAGAGTGGGAGGGGGAAGGGGAGAATTCCACATAAATGAAGAATTGAGGCCTAAAAAAGTGCTTCAATGATATTACTACCCTGCTCAAAAACCTTAAGTGACTTTTTCATGGCCTAAATCTTTTATCAAAATCCATCTGCTTTCTCCTTTGGCTACTCTTCTTTTTGACTATGCTAGAGCCCAATTGTACTACTTTGCCATTTCATAAGTTTTTTTTTTTTTAAGATTTTATTTATTTATTTGACAGAGAGACACAGCGAGACAGGGAACACAAGCAGGGGGAGTGGGAGAGGGAAGAGCAGGGAGCCCGATGCGGGACTCGATCCCAGAACCCTGGGATCATGACCTGAGCCGAAGGCAGACACTTAACGACTGAGCCACCCAGGCACCCCTCATAAGTGTTTTTGCAATATTCATCTTCCGTGTCTTTGATCATACTTTTTTCTTAAAATAGACTCTTCCTACCAGCTAACTTACATATATTGCGAAATGATTACCTCAATAAGTTTAGTTAACATCCATCATACAACAAAAAGAAAGAGAAAAGCTGTTTTTTTTTCTTGTCATGAGCAATCTTAGGATCTACTCTCGTTAATGACTTTCAAATATATCATACAGCAATGTTAAGTCTAATCCTCCCCAGTTTCTCTTTAGTAAAATAGTAGATTCTTTAAGACCCTGTTCAGATGCGGGGCGCCTGGGTGGCTCAGTCGTTAAGCGTCTGCCTTCGGCTCAGGTCATGATCTTGGGGTCCTGGGATTGAGCCCCGCATCGGGCTCCCTGCTCAGCGGGAAGCCTGCTTCTCCCTCTCCCACTCCCCCTGCTTGTGTTCCCTCTCTCACTGTGTCTCTCTCTGTCAAATAGATAAAATCTTTAAAAAAAAAAAAAAGACCCTGTTCAGATGCTACCTCTTCCATGAATCCTCCACTGTTTTATTCAGGAGTGAGTGCCTTTTCTTTTTTCTTTTCTCTTCTCTTCTTTTCATTTCTTTTGTTTTTTTTTTTTTAACTCCTAGGCAATTAATTTGCTGTATGTCATTGAATCATGTGTAATCTTATATTCAGATTTGTGTAATAATTATTGTACTATAGTTATTCTTCATTTACTCACTGGATTACTGTTGAGATACAGTCGTTGGGGATATAGTAGTTGGAGACGGGATGGTAGGGAACATGTACATTTTAATTGGGCTGGGAATTATGATTTCTGTGCATTAAATGGATAAACCAGGAGGAGAATACAGAATGCAGCAAAGCACTAAAATTCTTCCTTACATACAACAACAACAAAAAGTTATTTGTTTAATTTTAAGCCCATTTCCACTTACTTGAATAAAAACTTTAAAAAGAAAATTACTTAAATTCTTTATTCTCATGCTTTTTAAATTATAGTATATGTAACATAATATTTACCACATTAGCCATTTTTAAGTGTGCAGTTCAGTGGCATTAAGTAGTGTAACCATCACCATCATCCACTCTTAAATTCCTGAAGAAGGTAATTGAAAGTCAGTTAAGTCAGTTGATGTAGTTCTCATCTTTTCCCTCTTGTCCGGGTTATTGATAGGAATGTGGACGTTAATCAAATAAAGAATGTAAATGACTTTTAAAAAAATACTACATTAATAGATCTGACCCAGTCATGTGAGAGATGACAGTCTTAAGCTTTCTGTCCCCATAAAGAATAGTTGGACAGAGTCATCATTAAACAAATTTTAATGATGGTTCCATTTTGTTACTCCATTCCTTATTTTAATATGCTCTGTAACTATATATATTTTATAATCATTGAACACATAATTTTTTATCCTTAATGTTGTGTGCCTTTTCCTTCATGGCATACACATACATAAAAATATATCTTTATTCACTTGTCTTCTTTGTGCTTTTACGTAGGTCATTTGATTGTTTCCATTCCAAGAACTGCATTTGAACAGTACTTGGCACCTAGTAATTACCCAATAAATGTCAGCATTATTATCATTAGTCCATTTATTTCTCCAATATAAGTAAAGCTGCCATGTTTGGATTAATGTATATGATCCTTTTTCCCCTCCTTCCATTCTCCCTTCCCCACGTTTTGGATTTTTTTCCCTCCAAAATCAGTTTATAATACCCAAAAAATCTTTGAATATGGGTATTTTCAAGTATATATTGTCAAATTACTTTCCAGAAGGACTGTGCCAGGGTGCCTGGGTGACTCAATTGGTTAAGCATCTGACTTCAGCTCAGGTCATGATCTCAGGGTCCCGGGATTGAGCCCCACATCGCATCAGTCTCCATGCTCGGCAAGGACTCTGCTTGTCCCTCTCCCTCTCCCTCTGCTCCCCCACCCCGCTTGTGCTCTCTGTCTTTCTCTCTCAAATAAATAAAATGTTTTTAAAAAAAAGGACTGTACCAATATATAGTGCTTCCTATCACTTTTACCATATCATTCCAAATATTAGTGAATTTTCAGATCATAAGCCATACACTGTCAAATATGGCAGTACTATATCTGCAAACTAATGTTATTATAAAATAAAGTTTATTTTTAAGTGGGCTCCACTCTGGGCCTGTGTGTACACACACACACACACACACACACACACACGATTTTGGATAGAGCCACATGCCCCAAAATAGTAATAAATTTGTCTTTACACACACACACACACACACACTTTTCCAGTCACCATAACTGAAGCGTTTTCATGACCCTGGACTAGAAGGAATGCCCAGTATAATGGTTTAAGCCTGTGTTTCAAACCAATTTTTTCTTTTTCATGAAGCAATATACTTTGGGTAATCGTGATGATAAAATACCAGTTTTTCATAGCAGAAGTCTGAGGGGCTTATTTAATCACATTTATGGCAGCATCACAGAATCAAATCACTTTGCCAGGTCATTAAATCTCCATAGTATACCAACCACATCTGGTCATTTTAAATGAAGTTGTGATAAAGAGATAATTTTAAACCACGTTTTCTTCCTGCTTATCTATTCAAATAACTTAGCAAGTAACTAATTCAATTTTCCTTAATCTTAGTGTTAAGTAGTAAAAGTCTGTTGAAGATATTAAAAACATTCTTTATCACTGGCATTTATATAATTTTTTTTAAAAGCTTACTCTAAATCAAATTAATGATTGTTTTTCATACTAGTTTTTATTTTATGTGTGATTAAAAACAGCCTTCCCTGGTGGGCATTTGTTAATCTGTTTCTGACTGCCTCATGGGGTGAAAGCCCTTGATCTTCCTACTTGGTATGCATTGACCAGTTGACAGGTTCTGCTGGTTTGTATGTAGTTTCTCAAACATGCTAATGTTGTTTTCCCCAACAGGGCCTGGAGTTTTCATCAAGGGGAATTAATAATGCAGTTCTAAATTGATGTGGGGTTACATTTCACAGTATCCGTATTCATATTTACATATATTCTCTCTCCTCACAGTCTATCTAACTATAATCATTAGATTTATCTCAAAAAAGGAAAGGCAACAGGCAGGATATGCATGCACATACACATGCACACATACTAATTATATATACAGTAACCAGACTGAAAACAGTTATAAATAAAATCACTGCTAGACAGATGTAAAATCCAACTACGATTGTATCAGAACCTTAATACAAAGGCAAAGAATGACAGGCTACAGAAATGTTCTGTACCATCTGCCTTGTATTTCAAAACACAAAAAAGAAACCTTCAAAATAGAGCTGAAATCAAAGAGTAGGTCTATCTGTGCTGTAATTTAGAACTCAGAGCAGTCATTTTAAAAGTTTAAAGGGCCTGTAAGGCCAAAAAGTTTAAGAATTGCTGCTCAGGAGTTCACTTGCTGAGCTTACATTCCACAGATGTCTTTGCAGGTATTATCAGGACAAAAGAGCAAGTAAAACTTCCCTTTCTCTGTAGCTGCCAAGGCTGCTTTAAGAGTGTGACACACTTGTTCAGCATTATGAAGGGCATGTGGAGACTTAACACTTTTCTTGTCAGAAAGCCCGGAACTTGAGGAAAAGCAGCCCCCATAACCCTTTGATTGACTAGAACTCATGAAATACTATACCTTTACTGTCTTAAAAAGTCAGTGTTGGGGTGCCTGGGTGGCTCAGTCGGTTAAGCGTCTGCCTTCGTCTCAGGCCATGATCCCAGGGTCCTGGGATGGAGCCCCACATCGGGCTCCCTGCTCGGCGGGAAGCCTGCTTCTCCCTCTCCCACTCCCCCCTGCTTTGTGTTCCCTCTCTTGCTGTGTCTCTCTCTGTCAAATAAATAAAATCTTTAAAAAAAAAAAAAAAAGTCCGCGTTGGTTACTTTAATCCAACTTGACCTTTTCTCACTACAGGGCTACCACACACAGCGATCTTATTCTGAGAGCAACAAAACTGGGAATCTCTTACCGAGTTATTCACAATGCTTCCATAATGAATGCTGTAGGCTGCTGTGGTTTACAGGTAATACTACAAAGAAGGTGTTTTTTTTAATGGTAGTTAGCAAAATTGTTTTGGAAAACTACAAACTGCAGGTAGATTTTGTTCTATATCATGAATTTTAAGATGTTACTATTTTATATACATTAGTGGGTATGAAATTTTTTAATACTGAATTTTTTATTCTCTTTTCCTATAACTTAGATCTTTCTTCTCATTGGAATGGACCACTGAAATATAGCTACAGAAAGATTTTAATCTTATATCCAACTTTTGCATACAAAAACAAGGAAATTTAATCTAATTAAATTGGCTAAGTTTTCCTAAAGCCTTTTCACATTTCTTCCAAATAACTTACTCTGCATTGCTGAAGCATATTTTTCTACACAGTTGTTATTTGCTGTGCCATCAACAGCATTGTGATGCAGCATTTCTTAAAAGAATCTGTAAAAAGAACCAAAAGCCAGTCATATTCAGCTTTTAAGCCACCTTTGTAATTATTGCTGTGTGAAGTTGGTTAATTTTAACCCAACAGTCTTGATTCTGAGGGGTTAAAAGAGTGCACCGTAACTGTTTCCAGGGTTTTCTTTCAAGCTTGATATTTGTGTTCTGATGTTCGTATGTATATGATCTATGACAACTATGATTGCTCATGGCCAACACTGGTTTAAGACTTAATTGCTTGTTAGGACACGTTCCTATTTTAGATACATCCTAACAGAAAAAAATGTGCATCCTAGAATCTATGCAATGAGGTGTTTCCCACTATGTCTTCCTGGAATGCAGAATTTAAAATTGATATTTACAACACTAAGATACATTAGCATTGGACACCAGTGCTGTGTCTGTAGCTTTAGAGGTTTCTGTATTTTCTGCATTACCCAGGAAGAGTATCTCAATTTAATTGACATCTTGGCCAGTCATCTCAGAAATACTGCCTTTGATTCTGAAGAATCAGAGAAAAGGTATAAATGATTCACCTTTTAGTATTTGTTACTTGCTCTTAGTTACTAATTTAAATTGGCAAAAAATTTTGCTATCTCTTTTGTCTTCTAATGAAATGCATACTTTAAAAAACCTTGCCAATTTAAGTCTGCTTTATACTTTAAAGCCCTTCTAAACACTTCTGTGTTGGAGTAAGTGAATGGAGTTTCTTGATTCTCAGTCCAGTATTCTTTTTTTGTAGACTTTTTAAGAACTGATGGTTGCCATGAAAAAGGAAAAAAAGAGAGGAATAAATTAATCTTGTGCTAGACAAAGATGTGTGATAAACCTTAAGTTAATGGGATATATATTTTTCGTGTTGGTTTTATTTTTATTTCTGGTAGGGAAAGTTAACCTAGCCCCTTTCCATCATATTTTGGTCCAGATTATCATAACTTATCATTTAGAGGTTTTTGCTTCTTTTTAAGCATAACGTTTTTTAAAAGATCCTTGTCTTCATCACATGTATATCTATCATTCATACTGGCAAGAACTAAACTAGGGTGACCCTGTCCTCTTGATCCTGTAGACTGGTAGAGGGGTACAGTGTTATTGTTCTCATGTTTAAAATAGATGAAGGTATTTGAGAGGAAATTTACTGTGAGAATTGGCAGTCTCCATATAGGCCCTTAAGATCATATCCACATGGTACATAGATTTTTTTTTTTTTCAATTTAGCTTTCTCTCAGTCTTATATAGGATTTTTCTAGGCAGCCACAAAGCATTGTTTCCCCATCTGGGTTCTTTTCTCTAATCTGGGTATGAAAATGACTTACTACTTGTGTGAAAAACAGGAAGTGCCTTTTTAGGTTCTGTCTTACGTATTTGATGAAGTCTCGGTGAAAGTATACTTTTTGTACCACCCAAGTTATTTATATTCCAGGAGAAAGAGGTAATTATTGATACGTTTTATACACTTTCTAAGATAAAAGGCATTAAAAATACAGTCATATTTTTGGCACTTTTAAATTTTAAAACAAATGTTTTGACATTTGACATTTGTTATGACATCCTGCATAATACATAAACTTTGGCAAAGTTCCCTTTCTTATAATGGCTGCTCTTTTTCTCTTGAGTATTTGGATCAGCATTTATGGGAAAAACAATAATCTACACCAGTGGTTCTCAGACTTTAGTATTCATCAGAATTACTTAGAGGGCTTATAAAAGAAATGACTGGCCTTCCCCTTAGATTTTCAGATACAGTAGATCTGGGGTGGTGGCCCAAGAATTTGCATTGCTAGCAAATTCTCAGGTGATGCTGAAGCTGCTCATATAGGTACCCATTTTGAGAACCACCAACCTAGACAGATAAAAAATTTCTTAGAAAGTTTTATAGAACTGTACTTTCTTTTAGCATGGCAGAATTGGAAAAGTAGATTTTAGTTCCCATAAATAGGCTTGCAAAATGTAGAATGTATTACCTTGCCATGTTCTCTTTCTCAATTTTTTAAAAGGGAAGTGGGCACCACTTTCGAAAGACATTCTGTCATCTCTGTGAACACTTTCCCCTGAGTTATTAGGAAAACAGCCATCAAGTTATTGAACAGAAGTGCTGTTTTGGGTACTGTGACACACCTGAACAGTACATGGTTTGCAACATTTTTTTTTTAAGATTTTATTTATTTATTTGAGACAGGGAGAGAGAGAGAGCACGAGCAAGGGTGGGGGGAGCAGAGGGAGAAGCAGACTCCCCACTGAGCCCAGTGCAGGGCTTGATCCCAGGACCCTGAGATCATGACTTGAGCTGAAGGCAGATGCTTAACAAACTGAGCCACCGAAGCGCCCCTGCAACATTTTTACATTAGGTTAAAGAGTAGTAGTTTGAAATTCCTAACCTGGAAATGGGCACAGCTTTTTTTTTTTTTAAGTTATCAATTTGTTAGCTCTTCTGAATTTTCTTATTGTTGTTTTCTAAAGCAGCATAGAGAGCTCAGAATTGACTGTTGAGTATTTTTCATTCACTTTGTAGTTTATTAACTAGCAAAAGACTCCTTATTATCAGTATTAATGAAGATAACTAGTTGCATAGACTAACACTTCTAAATACACAAAACCAGTTGATATGCATTCTATTATAGGTATGCCATAAAATAGAATTTTTTATTGCAAAGACCATATTCCTGTTAAAATTTTCCTTGTTAAATGGAATGTGTATTAATGATTGCCAAGTTAGACATCATTAAGAGGAATAGTGATCCATTTATTCAACAAATATTTGCCTTATTGTTTGCCTACTAAGTATCTTTGGATACACTGATAAACCTGTCCAAGAAGGTCTGCGCTCTCAAAGAGCTTACATTCTAGTAGGAAGGAGAGGCAGTAACAGCAATAACAGATAAATGTCAGGTAGTGGGAAGTATAAGAAATTCAAGTACACTGATAAATGTTAGAGAGTTGGCTTCACTGTTGTAGTTGGGTGGTCAAGGAAGGTCTCACTAAGGTGGTGTTATTTAAGATTAGATATGAACCAAGAAGAAACTAGCATATTCTAGTCACAGGGAATGGTTTATGCAAAGACTCTAAAATGGAAATGACCTTGGCTCCTCGAAGGAACCAAAGAAGGGCTTATTGGAGAGTAGTAGGCAGGGAAAAAGCAATCTGAGGTCAGATAAGTAGATAGGATTGGATCACTAGGCTCTCTAATCCAATGTGAGGTATTTGAATTTTATTCTTAGTGAATTGATCATGTAGAAGAGTATGATTAGGTTTAATTTACTTCCGGACTCTGAAGTCTCTCCTTTTGTCTTGTGAAGAATTAGTAGTCCTGGCATAGATACTAAGTATATGTATGTAAGTGAAAGAAGCATGACACAGAAGACCATATATTGTAGGATTTCATTTATATGAAATGTCCAGAGAAAGCAAATTTATGAAGACAGTAATTAGTGGTTGGCTGGGAGTGAGAACAGATATTACTTATTAAATGTACATATGGGATCTGATTGGAGTGATAAAAATTTTCTAAAACTACATACGGTAGTGGTTGCACAATTTGGTAAATTTACTAAAAATCATTGAGTATACACTTAAAATGGGTGAATGTTGTGGTATGTAAATTTTATCTCAGTAAAGTGGTTTAAAAAATGAATTACAAGAGGTTTGCTAGATGAATAATAAGGTTAAATACATTCCCAACAGAGAGAAATGTTCAGTTAAAGAAGAGAGTCATGGAAGCACTTCGGAGCATCTGCATGGTATTACACACACACACACACACACACACACACACACACACACACACACACACCAGTGAATACATACATATGTATCACAGAACCTTGGCTTCCTAGAGATTAGTTAACACAAGATTGTGAATATATGTGTTGGATAAAAACTGACTAGAACTGGCAAAGGAAAAGTAATAATGGGAAAGGTTTAAAGTTGAACTGCAATTTAAAAGGTCTTGGTTTTACTTTTGCTCAGGCAGTTAACTAAGGAGTCCTCTAACTTTCCTGGATCTGGATAGTCAGGTTTCCTAACTGTTAAGGGGATGAGATGGGGACAGGGAGGAATGCTGGACAAGATCAGTGGTTTTCATAGTGTATCAGGATCTATGAAGATGTTTCAGCAGTTCTGCAGAAAATGAAGTACTTGAGACCCAATAGCAAAGAATAAATCCCCAAGGAGTCCAGTCTTTATCTTTACCCCCATTGATGTTCTGTTTAAGAATTTATTTGGAAAAAAAGATTTGGCAGTAAAAAGTATGAAGAATACTAAACTAGATAAACTTTAATATCCTCTAGAATTAGAAGCCAAAAAGCTGGCCTGTTTTCTGTCTTTAGGCAAAGGTTACCTTGACCAAGATACATTAAATACTCAAATTTTCATTAAGTAAATCTTTGGATTTTTTACAATTTAAATATTTAGTTATAAACATGTATACTTTAAAATCATGTTCTTTGAAATTCCTAAGTAACAGATATTTCTAACACTTGTGTAATTTGTATTTTGAGGATTTCTCTAGTCAAAGAAAAATCCATCTATTTGTGCAGAGCCCAGGCAAGTTGGTTGTATTTAGGCATTCCCAATAATGAAAA